TCGCGTTTTACTCCGATGCAAATGAGCTTTATTACTTGTACTCATGCTTATTTCATATCTTTTGAGTACATCATGTTGGCTCGGGTCATATAAGCTTGCCTAACACTTTTGTTCTTTTTGCCAAAAGCTTATATGATCCAAGCAGGTTAAAAACCTCATCTCTTTCACATACTCGAGGTGGTATTGTCATCAATCACCAAAAAGGAGGAGATTGAAAGCATCTAGGCCCCTAGTTGGGTTTCGGTGATTAATGACAATACATGATTACTGTGACTAACGTGTGTTTTGCAGAGGCAATTAAGTTAGGTCATGGTAATGGAGATCAATTGGGCAATCATGGTGATCATGCCCCTACGATGGAAATCCTTTCGGTTTTCAAAGGATGGACGACAAGGTTAAGGATGGACTAGTTTTAAGTGTCGTTTGAAGTTGAAGAGACACTTAGAGTAGTTTAGGACTTTGTTTTTCCTTTGGCCGTACTATTAGGGGGGGTATGGACGGGTAACTTGACCTAGCTGAGTCTAGTGAGTTAGGTGTGGTGCACACTTGTTAAAACTAGCATTAGGTAGCTCCAAAATAGCCCTTAGATCCAATGGAGCAAACTTCATTCATGTATGATCGAGAGTTGGAAGTGAATGGAGGGTCAAATACTGACCGGATGCTGGCTCCGGTGTGACCGGACGCTGGCTCAGGGTCCGGTCATTTCATTTGACCAAGGTGAAATCGTCTGGTGCGACCAGATACTGAGAGGTGAAGTGACCGGATGCTGAGAGCCAGCGTCCGGTCGACTCCAGTAAGGTTCCAGGGAGGGAAAATCACGACCGAACGCGTCTAGTCACACTTTAAACACTGGAGTTCGGGGTGTACTGACTGGAGCGTCCGGTCAACATGACCGGAGCGTTCGGTCACCCCGCAGAGGCACATAATGGTTTGTTTTTCAGCCCTTGTTATAAATACCACCTCCATTCATGTGTGGGGGTACTTTTGCTTATTCCAACAGCTGAGAAACACCTTAGAGAGTGCCAAGAAGAGCAAGGTCCTAGTGAGGTGATTGAGATTTGAGAATCTCAAAGAGAGCCCTCATTAGTGAGATCAAGAGTAGCAAAGTGTGCATCCACCCTTCTCATTAGGCTTGTCGTGGTCAAGTGAGAGTTCGTGCTTATTACTCTTGGTGATCGCCATCACCTAGATGGCTTGGTGGTGATTAGAAGCTTGGTGATCATCCGAAGAGCTTATGGATGACCCAACTCAAGTTGTGAGCAGTTGTGGGTGATTCACCGCGACGGAGTGTCGAAGAATCAACCCATAGAGAGCAGTTGATCCTTGCGCGGATCAAGGGGGGCTACACCCTTGCACGGGTACTCCAACAAGGACTAGTGGGGAGTGGCGACTCTCCGATACCTAGGCAAAACATCGCCGCGTTCATCCTTCTCTCTTTACTTTGAGCATTTACTTTGAGCAATTCAATTCTTATCATTTATATTCTTAAAATTGCCATGCTAGAGTAGGATTGGAACATAAGTTGCAAGTCTTTTGTGTGGTAGAACAATTAGAAACACTTTCTAGGCACAAGGGGTTAATTGGGCTAACCGTAGGATTTAATTATTGCAAAGAAATTTAGAATTAGCCCAATTCACCCCCCCCCCCTCTTGGGCATCTTAATCCTTTTAGAGAGGTTGGATGGCGGCGTGAGTCAATGCCAACTCTCCTCCCACCATGACGATGAAGTCCAGGTCCCCAAAGCGCACGTGTGTGCTCGGGACCCAGCTGATATCGTGGCTAGCCATCCGTGGCCTAATGTTAATGTCGGAACACGCAAAGGTCCCCTACCTGGTGTGACAACTGTCGGTGTTTCGAGTAAACACCAACGAGTAAATTTGTTTATTTGCGCGTCTGGTCCGAATGGTGTGCTAAAAAGACACAAGGTTTATACTGGTTTGGGCAGAATGTCCCTACATCCAGTTCATAGCTGCCGCTCGTGTTATTTGCACTGAAAGGTTAGGAGTAGGGGTTTCAAACGGGCGAGAGAGGGATAGGTCCTAAGTCTTTGATGGAAAGATTGAAAGGGCGCTGAGAGCTTGGTTGCTGCTCAATTGTGCGTTATATGATGCGTGATGTGTTGAATCGATCCATCCCTTTAGTGGGGTGCCCTGCCATCCCTTTTATAGACCAAGAGGAAGCAGTGATTATAGATGAGAGAAAGAAGAAAAACCAGAGGCAAAGAAGGTCCTTTGAAGGTGCCGGGTCTTTCTTTTCCTCTGAGCGAGCCCTGCTGACACGGCAGATGGTGCTAGGGATAGCTCTATGCTAGGTGTCTGTCCGCTGATGATGCCATGCTCTGGCTTGATTAGCAAGTGGTCACGTCCCATCCCGCCTCGACTGGCGGCGTGACGAACCAGGGTGTTGATCCGCGACCCTACGGGGAGCGGACGGCGCAGTGACCGCACGTCCGTCACTATAAAGGATGCGAGTCTCTTCCTAGACCGTAGTGGTTGTTGTATTCTTCCGTTAGGATCCGTGCCTAAGGGCAAATGGTGACGCCCACAACACTGTTAGGGCTCTGATATCCCCGGAATGGCTTTAAAGCGCCCGTCTTGTCATATCCTGATGGTACTTTCCTGTAGGCGTGCAGGGTATGGTCCTCGGTATTGCGGTTGACTTGAGTGCCCTGTCTTATCTGCGCGTGCAATTATGAAGGAGCAGCGCGTAGACGTCGGGCAAGGTGGAGCCAGCCCCCGGACGTCGGGCGAGGCAGAGACAGCCCCCGGACGTCGGGCGAGGCAGAGCCAGCCCTCAGATGTTGGGCGATGCGGAGCCTGCCCTCGGGGTTCGGGCGAGACGGAGTCTGTCCTCAGACGTCGGGCGAGGTGGAGCCGACCCTCGGGGATCGAGCGAGACGAAGCCGGCCCTCGGGGGTCAGGCGAGAAGGAGTCTGCCCTCAGACGTCGGGCGAAACGGAGTCTGTCCTCAAACGTCGGGCGAGGCGGAGCAGGCCCTCGGGGGCGGGCGAGACGGAGTCTATCCTCAGACGTCGGACGAAGAGGAGTCAGCCCTCGGGAGCCAGCTCGAGGCGGGGCCATGGTCTCGGTCGACGAACGAGGAGTAACTCGGCGAGCGGTGTAATCGCGCTCTCGATCGCGCAGATGAATCAACATTGATAGCCATTAGCTCCTCCTCTTCGGATACCCTACTATTGGTCTCCGACAAGTCTCTTGGGCTAAACAGTTATACCAACTAAGCTTGAGCAAAGCTCAAACTTAGCAACATAAACTGGCTTTGTTAACATATTAGCAGGATTATCATGTGTGCTTATCTTGCATATCTTCAGTTTATCTTGCACGACAACATCGCGAACATAATGGTATTTGACATCAATGTGCTTTGTTCTCTCATGGAACATCTGATCTTTAGTAAGACATATAGCACTTTGACTGTCATAAAATAAATTAATGCAAGAATCATCTCCATAAATCTCAGCAAACAAATCTTTCAACCAAACCAATTCTTTACATGCTTCAGCAACAGCTATGTATTATGCTTCAGTGGTAGACAGTGCAACAACAGGCTGTAATGTTGCCCTCTAACTCACAGCACAACCACCAATAGTGAATACATAACCTATGAGAGATCTCCTCTTATCTAAATCGACAGCAAAATCTGAATCCACATAGCCAGTGAGTCTCTTATCGGTGTTCGCTTCAGCCCAAACCTCTCGACGACGGGCCTCACCTCGCTATGTCAAAAATTAGACTTTATCTTAGGCCACGTTTAGTTCCAAAACTAAATTCCCAAAAAAGTGCTACAGTAACCATCACATCGAATCTTGCGATACGTGCTTGGAGCATTAAATGTAGACGAAAAAAAACTAATTGTACAGTTTGGTTAGAAATCGCAAGACGAACGTTTTGAATCTAATTAGTCCATAATTAAACACTAATTACTAAATAAAAACGAAAATGCTACGGTAGCCAAATTGCCGAACTTTCCCGACTAAACACAGACTTATACAACACCACCGCGCAGCGCGGCCGCTGGCCAGCCGCCTACGCCCCACGGCCCACGCAAGGCAGTCGGAAGAGGGAAGCCGCAGCCGGCCACTGACTCCGATCCCACCTCTAGTCAGCCCCAGGCAGACCGATCCTCTTCGCCTGACCACGACGGCCATCTCGCACGCCTACTTCCACCCAACCACAGAAGCCTTCTCTCCCAGGCCTAACCTTCCTCCCCGCAGCGCTGCCACTACTGGTTTTGCACTGGCGCTGGCGTGACGCGGAAAGACGTGGAGATCCACCGAAAATTGGATTGATTTCTTCCTTCCTCGTTGAGGAACTCCAAACCACCCTGCTAGGTAGGATATGTTCCCTTGTTCAGTAGTTTGCTTTGTTCTGGGGGATCTTCCCTTCTCCCTTTTTCCAAATTCTTTACCTTGCCGGCCGTGTTTGCTTCGTGTTTGTTGTAGTATTTCTCTAATCCATCCACGGGTCCAACAGGTTCTTCATCCTCAGCCTGCGCAAGATCCGTTTGAGTTGGCCGCCCCCCATTGGACTACCCCAAGGTGCGGTGGCATCCACCCAGGTTTGAACACTTCTGTTGTATCATGCTGTATAATTACCATAAAAAATGCACCGGAAGCTGTTTTTTGCCAAATAAATAGACTGAACCCCCATGCTGAATTTGCCTCAGAGTTAAATTTCCAGCAAATTTATCATCTTTGCTGCAAAACCTTCAATCTTTCTCGTCAAACTAGAGTGTTTTGTTTAGGAGCTTGCACAATGATTAATTGGAAGGAACATAGCAAGAAACACAATGATTAAATGGAAGGAACATAGCAAGAAAAGAATCAGAAGGATTAATCGTGCTTTATATGTAATATTCGCTAAATAGCTATCCTTGACACTTCTTATTGTTTGCTGTTTTGGTATGGCAGGTTGAAGATACCTGGGTTGGGTAAGTGGGAGCTTAGAATAATGGTGGACTGCTATTGATTTTCCATACATAGGATGGAATCCTTGTGGAAATTGACCTACTTGCTCGAGCCGGCATCACTTGCTCTAATTGCCACAGCCATTTCTGTGGCCTATGCATCAGCATCGCGTGCTCTGGACTATGGCAAAGAGATGGAGAGAAACTTGGATTTTTCAGAGGCTTCCATTACATTGGATCGGTCGCTGGCTCTAATGATTCCCCTTGCAAGCTCATGCAGTCTGTTGCTGATGTTCTACTTGTTCTCGTCTGTCTCACATCTCGTGACTGCTTTTACTGCTGTGGCCTCAGCGATGGCACTGTTCTTTTGCCTGTCTCCACACATCACCTATCTCAAGACACAATTCAATCTAATGGACCCATTCGTGTCCAGGTGTTGTTCAAAGTCGTTTACACGGTTGCAAGGTTTGCTGATGCTCTTCTGCATAGCCACAGTCTTAGCCTGGTTGGTTTCAGGGCATTGGTTGCTAAATAACCTACTGGGAATTTCCATATGTATAGCGTTTGTCAGCCATGTGAGGCTTCCCAACATAAAGATCTGTGCGCTGCTTTTTGCCTGCTTGTTTGTGTATGATATTTTCTGGGTGTTCTTCTCAGAAAGGTTCTTTGGAGCAAATGTCATGGTCTTTGTTGCCACTCAGAAGGCATCTAATCCTGTTCACACAGTAGCAAATAAGCTCAGCCTGCCCGGATTGCAATTGATTACAAAGAAGCTGGAGCTTCCAGTCAAGCTTGTATTTCCCAGGAATTTGTTGGGTGGGATTGTTCCAGGAAACAATCCTGGTGACTACATGATGCTTGGCCTTGGAGACATGGTATTCTTGCAAATATTTTATGCTTTTATTTTGCTTTTAACCTTTTCTTTTTATAACGTCTGCTGTTAGTCCTTAAACCCTCTATAGAATAAGTAGCCTTGAGTGCTTCTACTTTTAATACCTCAGCGTTTGCTGAGCTTCATATTATTTGTCTTGTCTGTGTGTATAAACTCTTGTTTCAGAATAAGACCAAATGACATGTTGATTAACATTTTTAAGCCATAATATAGATGGAATTGACATGCAAACATAGGCCATACCAAAGAAAGAAGTTATGTGAACTCAACTTCCATTGTTCAGTGTCTGCCACTTTTTGGCAAATTTAGTTTATCAAAGCAGCAAGTTATGCACTGCGCACTCTATCAGCTCGATAACAAGTAGGCTTTGGTTTACAGGAATGCACTTAACTACTGTACAAATCTATATCTAATTGGTCAGGATGCAAGTGGGTACCCACTTTGTAGCTCTTGGTCACTGCCAAGGGCCTGTTTGGTCAATGCCTATGCCACAACTAACCTCAGGCAAAACGTGATAGGTGCAAGAAGTGGAACAATTAGTTCATTTGCATTCTATTTTTCTTGCTTTGAAATCATGTAAGTTCATTTTGATGAGTTTTGGGTCAATCCAATGACCCAGAGAAAAGCCTTGCATCCCTACTAATTGGGAAAATCTGCTTTCTTCCTGCATGTTGCTTCTCCAAAGTTCTCAATTTAGAGATGAAACAGACCAAGTAACAGCTGTGACGTTATAAATAGCCAAAGTATCCCGATCTTGCAAGTTTTTAAGCCTAAAAACTATCCAATGACACTGATGAGAGCTACGTTTTGTGTACTCCTGTAGTTACAATATACAGTGCACCTGCTGCTGGTTATTGATGATTTGTGTATTCACCTCATAGGATTTTTTTTTTCAAAAGCAGCATGACTGCATCATAGTGATTTGAGTCTTTTTCTGCCTAGTATTTAACTTATCAACTTTGCTCGTGCTTTTGAGTAATCCATTCGTACCACTGATGATTTGAATTTAATCACCTAGATTCTTGTTTCTTCCTGCAGGCCATTCCAGGGATGCTTCTAGCTCTGGTACTCTTTTTTGATAGCCGGAAGTTTAAGGATGTGAATGTTCCATCAGATGTGTCTCCCCCAAAAAGGCGGAATTATGTGTGGTATACTCTAACAGGGTATGGTATTGGCTTGGTAGCTGCACTAGCTGCTGGGATCTTGTCTCAGTCTCCCCAACCAGCCTTACTGTACCTGGTAAGTGTTGTCAGGTTATACAGTGAGGTTTTGGACATCATTGCCCTTTTTCGTTCTATTAAATTATGCTTCTCTGACTTGTGTCACGTGTATTTCGTAGCATTGAGTCATGGTATAGTATAGTTTCAAGCTATGGTGTGATGCTTATAGCATGGTTGCTCTTCATTCTGACAGAGTTTGTGGCTTTCAGGTGCCATCGACACTGGGGCCTGTCATGTACTTGTCATGGTTATGGAATGAGCTGTGGGAGCTATGGGAAGGGTCTGGGACGATTCTAAACGATAAAGCTCGTTTGCTGGAGGTCTGAGATCCAAGTGGACAATAAAAATGATCTGAGCCCACCGCGATTGAATCTAATTAAACATTACTTGAACTCCTCATACTGAAGGAGAGTATTTCTAAGCTAGAATGTTCTAGTCACGTAAGCTACTACCCAGTTGCCCTCGCAAGAGGAAACACAGACAGATCATGTAACTGTTTGTAATAGAAAGGTTCAGTTCAGTGCATTTCAGCTTTTACCTATAGGTTCTTTTGTCTGCAACTGCTTGAATAGCACAACTGCTTGGACTGCAAGGCAGTGCCGTGGCTGATGCCATCAGTGAAGTGTGAATAGTGTACCTGTGCTATTTTGCAAAGCTAAGCTAGCCAGAATTGGAGTTTGGTTGAGCCACTTAAAAAATGATAATGGTGGGTTTTCCACGGCATTTGTTGAAGAGTTAGTGGTAACATCAGCAGAGGTCTTTGCTCCACTGAAGAAATGTGGAGGATGACTGAGCAACTGCCGCTGAAGGCTCAATAATATCTCAAATTTCATTATTTGCCTTTGCTAAATTTCGATGCCATTCTGGGTTGTCGGCTAAGCCACAACCCACAATATCTCAACTGGTGACGCATGGTACAGCCATGGCCAGTGGACTACCAGCAAGCAAGCAAGACGGGAAACTTGTCAAGTATAATCTAGGAAGGGAGCAGATTGATTTTTTTTCCTCTGAATTTTCTGAAGCTGATGGAATTCATTTCGCCGAGCACCACTACTTTCAGACAAGGAATTGTGTTCATTCCCAAATAGAGAGTAGCATGCTGCTGGTACTTTGGGCTACAATCCTAACTTACGAGCTATGAGAGACTAGTCTAACAATTTCCCACACAATGATCAAGGAAGCATACAATTTCTCACGATGATAAAGGAAGCATACAATTTCTCACACAATGATCAAGGAAGCATGGAGGCCAGCAGACCAAAACGGCAGCAAAATCACCGGATTCTCAAGAGTGATGTAGGAGTAAACCACAGAGCCCACTTATGGTTGCCTCTGGACATTTCCTTGTCAAATTAGGAGAGGCCGCACTTCTCACGCACTCGCACTTGATCCCTCACTTGTAGAGGCCGTCCCAGCGCACACCCACGCAGGCCAACACCAGACAGATCACAGAGACATGCTTTCACTTGGAGAAGTTGAGACATCCCATGGGTTTCTGCAACACGGCTGCCACTTGCCATTCCATAATATTGCATATATGTTTGCTGGGTTTAATACAGTGGTATGCTTAGAGGACTAATAAGTAATGCTAGTGGAAACAACACAACTGATCGACTCCCTTGACACTATGGGTTGCTAACAAATGCTTGAGACATGCAGATCAAGGAAGCAACATGATTAATTGTAGTAACTAATAATTGCGTCAACCATCACAATGATCAAACCATGGAGGACAGCCTAACAAAACCAGTGGCAAATTCATGGATCCCCATTCCCCAAGAGTGATCCTACCACAAATCCCACTATGATCGCACGCTTCCTTCTTGATTTAGGAGAGACTGCACTTCATGCATTCACACTAGGTCCCTCATTTGTAGATGCCGTTCCCAGTGCTGTAGAAACAGACACAAAAATAATGAAAACAGCGTCAGCAGATTGAAACATGGATTTGCCACCGATGAAACATTTGTTTATTCATAACCACAAGGGCCCACAAGGTCCTGCTAATGGTTAACGAAACAGCGCTTGCATAGTAATTAGTAAAGTCATAAGAGCTAGGCTCAAAATCTGGAGAAACACCTCTCTTTGCGCAGCATATATCATCCGCATTCTTCATTTGATGCTTAAAACTGCTAAATCACAACAAAGGAACCTATATATGGTTAAAGGATGGACATGACAGTAATATCTATCCGGATGGTAAAATCTCATGTAGGCAATGACTTTTTTGGTGTTTATGTGCTGGATAAGTTCCAACCTTGGCCAAAAATAATATCAAACGTCAAAGCCCCATATCCATCGATCTGACCCAGTTTGACACGAGATTGTGATAAACTAATTGTTCTTGCCACACGCGCCATTTTTGTTCATAAATTCCTGTCAATAACTGAAATCCTGCTCGTTCTGATTGTTCTGGCAAGTGAAACATTAATCGTTTGCTCAATGTACCTGGAGTGTAGAAGCTCATGTAGGGAACGATATCCCTGCAGAAGCCAGTGCCGTCTACAAGCTTGTCGATCCGGCCAGACTTTTGATCAACGGAGAAACAGCCACCAATCGTCCCCACCAAAATCATGCCAACGCCATCCGCATATCCAAGCAAATCGATGACGGGGAGCAGGCTCCTGAGGTCAATTACTCTGCCTTGTGTCCATTCCATTGCCAGGGCACCGCCGTTAGGCCTAGGCTCCATTGACCAGAGGCAGAGTTTGTCAACCGCCACTCTTGCGAATCCCAGGCCTCCGTCCTCCGTGGTCGTGAGCACGGTGTTCAACATCCGTCCATTATGGGACGCCAAAGGCAGTCGAATGAAAGACACGTCGCCCGTGGCCAGGTCGTACTTGAGGATGCTGGTCCTCCACTGGAACAAGAAGTAGAGCGCATTCCCGACGAGGGCACCGCGCACCGCGTCGACATAGCCACCACCAGCACCAGGGTCCGGGTGTTGTGCTGTGTAGACCGGCTCGCTCCACGCCGCAGGCCCTAACGAGTAGTAGACGCAAGCGAAAGTCCCCTCGGAGTCCGTGCCCACCAGGACGACGCGGAAGTGCCCGTCGGCGTGGTCCAGGAGGCCGTGCTGGTCGCAGAGCAGCGCCGCTAACCAGCTGCGCGGGCGCCGTGGCAGGACGGGGACGGGCAGCTCCAGGTGGCCGCCAGCGGCGGCAGAGAGCGGGTCCCAGATGGCGAGGCGAATCCCCAAGAAGGCGCGCCGCCGCGGGCGGAGAGGACGAGGCAGGCGCGCTCGTCGTCGGCGGCGCAGTGGAGGAGGACGCGGCCGCGCGCGCGTCGAGCGCGATCCAGCCCCGCTGGGTGTCGAGGGGCGGCAGGACGCGGAGGTGCGGACGAAGCGGGCGGAGATGGGTTCATTGGCGGCTGACATGTTGCGGAGGAAGCCCAGCATCGGGGCACCCCGGCCCTGGAGCTGAAAGTCGCGAAAGCGGGGGCGGAAGGCGAGGTCCGAGACGAGGCGGGACCAGCGCTTGCAGACGAGCGCGGCGCGGACGAGGTGCGCCGGGTCGTCCGGCGGGGAGCGGAGGAGGACCTCTTCCACGAGCTCGTCCGGCAGCGCCGGCGGAGCGCGCAGCGTTGGCGGCGGCGGCGGCGGCTCCTCCATCTCCATGGGGGATCAGGGGCGGCTTGCGGGGTCAGTTAAGTTTGGCTCTGGAACTTTGGTCAACTTAAACCCTGTCGTTTGCTGAGCAGTCGGATATCATACTACCTTTCGTTGTTGGTACACACAAAGATACCAGATCTATTCGTCCTTCAATAACATTATAGGTGAAATATTTGATACCTATTTAGCATCTTCTCCAACAATAAAATTCAAAAAAAAATCCTTTCTATAAATGTATTTTTAGGAGAGAGGATGTTCATATTTAGGTTGTGCCTCTCAGGTAACCCAAAATAGATCTATCGTATATATACTCTATTGGAGGCTGATTTTGGGTATCTTGCTACCCATTTTAGATTTAGATGCCCATATAGATTCCTTGTTGGAGATGGTCTAAGCTAACCAGAATTGGAGTTTGGTCTTTTCTTTTTGAGCTTGCAAGTTCTTTTTTGCACATCTTGTGCACATGTACAGCTGATAAATCGGCTGATACTATTTTATTGTGAGAGAAAAACGATATACCATGACTGATAAGTCGGGCTAATCAAGCAAAGGCGTTAGTGGTAACATCCGCAACGACTGATAAATCGGCTAATACTGTTTTATTGTGAGAGAAAAATATTATATCATGACTGATAAGCCGAACTGATTAAGCAAAAGCGTTAGTGGCAACATCCGCAGAGGACCGAGCAACTGCCGCTGAAGGCTCTTAGACTATCTCCAACGACAACATCTAAAATACGAGACCCATTTGACCTTTGGGTAGCCCTGTTCGCTTGTCTTATAATTCGTACTTTTCAGCCGAAATAATGTTTTTCTCTCACAACAAATTAGCCAGAACAGTATTTCGGCTTTTTTTTCAGCGAAACGAACGGGGCCAAAGGATTCAATAACCATTCAACATCTTCTCCAATAATATAATCCAAAAGAGGATCCTTTCTGTAAATGAATTTCAGAAGAGAAGATGCTCATATTTGGATTATGTCTATTAGGTAACTCTCAAAATGGATCTCCTGTGTAGACAGTCTGTTGGAGACTGATTTTAGATCTTTTTACCCATTTTAGATTTCGGTTCTTTTATCGGAGACAATCCTACTCCGTATTTCATTATTTGCCTTTGCAAATTTCGATGCCATTTCTGGGTTGTCGGCTAAGCCACAATACCTCAAAACTGGTGACGCATGGTACAGCCATGGCCAGTGGACTACCACTACCCGCAAAGCAAGCAAGACGGGAAACTTGTCAGGTATAATCTGGGAAGGGAGCCGATTGATTTTTTTCTCTGAATTTTCTAAAGCTGAAGGAATTCATTTCCCCGAGCACCACTACTTTCAGACAAAAGGAATTTTTGTTCATTCCCAAACAGAGAGTAGAATGCTGCTGGTACTTTGGGCTACAATCCTAACTTACGAGCTATGAGAGTAGCCTAACAATTTCTCACACAATGATCAAGGAAGCATGGAGGCCAGCAGACCACAACGGCAGCAAAATCACGGAATCTCAAGAGTGATACCATAATATTGCATATATGTTTGCTGGATTTAATACAGTGGTACGCTTAAAGTACTGCAATGCTAGTGGAAACAACACAACTGATGGACTCCCTTGCCACTATGGCATCATTAGTTCATTACACATCACTCGCTAACAAATGCTTGAGACATGCAGATCAAGGAAGCAACATGATTAATTCTAGTAACTAATAATTGCGTCAACCATCACAATGATCAAACCATGGAGGACAGCCTAACAAACCAGCAGCAAATCCATGGATCCCCAAGAGTGATCCTACCACCAAATCCCACGCTTCCTTCTTGATTTAGGAGGGACTATGCACTTCATGAATTCTCACTTGGTCCCTCATCTGTAGATGCCGTTCCCAGTGCTGTAGAAACACACACAAAAATAATGAAAACAGCATCAGCAGATTGAAACATGGATTTGCCATCGATGAAACATTTGTTTATTCATAACCACAAGGGCCTACAAGGTCCTGCTAATGGTTAACCAAACAGCACTTGCATAGTAAAGTCGATAAGATAAGGTAGGCTAAAATCTGGAGAAACACCTCTCTTTGTTCAGCATATATCATCCACATTCTTCATTTGATGTGAAAAACTGCTAAATCACAACAAAGGAACAATTGTATAAGTTTGGACATGACATTAATATCTATCCGGAGGGTAAAATCTCATGTAGGTAATGACTTTTTTGGTGTTTATTTGTGTTCGATAAGTTCCAACCTTGGCCAAAAATAATATCAATCGTCAAAGCCCCATATCCATCAATCAGCGACATGTATAGCAGATGATCCAGTTTGGCATGAGATTGTGATAAACTCATTGTTCTTGCCACAAACACCATGGTTCATAAATCTACTGTCACTAACAGAAATCTGATAGTTCTGGCAATTGAAGCATTAAGCAATTTGCCCCACGTACCTGGAGTGTAGAAGCTCACGTAGGGAACAATATCACTGAAGAAGACAGTGCCGTCTACAACAAGCTTCTCGATCCGGCCAGTCGTTTGATCAACAGAGAAGAAGCCAGCATGTTCGCTTGTTGGTTTCAGCCAAGGCTTATCAGCCAGTCAACAATGTTTTTCTCTCACAATAAACCAGCACCAGCCAAGCTTCTAAGCCCAGAAACCAACCAGCGAACATGCTCAATTGATCGTCCACACCAAAATCATGCCAAGGCCATCCGCAAATCCAAGCAAATTGATGACGGGGAGCAGGCTCCTGAGGTCAATTACTCTGCCTTGTGTCCATTCCATTGCCAGGGCACCGCCGTTGGGCCTAGCCTCCATTGACCAGAGGCAGAGTTTGTCGCCCTCCACTCTTGCGAATCCCAGGCCTCCGTCCTCCGTTGTCGTGAGCACGGTGCACAAGATGCTCCGTCCACTATGGGACGCCGGAGGCAGTCGAATCACAGACATGTCGCCCGTGGCCAGGTCGTACTTGAGGATGCTGGTCCTCCCCTGGAACAAGAAGTAGAACGCGTTCCTGACGACGGCACCGCGCATCGGGTCGGCATAGCCACCACCAGCACCACCAGGGTCCGGGTGTTGCGCTGTGTAGATCGGCTCGCTCCACGCCGCGGGGCCTAACGAGGTGTATACGCAAGCGAAGGTCCCCTCGTGGTCCGTGCCCACCAGTACGACGCGGAAGGTCCCACCGGCGTGGTCCTGGAGGCCGTTCTGGTCGCAGCAGAGCAGCGCGGCGTTCCAGCAGTGCGGGCGCCGCGGCAGGACGGGGACGGGCAGCTCCAGGTGGCCGCCGCCGGCGGCAGAGAGAGGGTCCCAGACGGCGAGGCGAATCCCCACAGAAGCCGCATCGTCGCGGTCGAAGAGGACGCGGCCGGCGTGCTCGTCGGCGCGGTGGTGGAGGACGCGGCCGCCGCGCGCGTCGAGCGCGAGCCAGCGGCGCTGGGTGTCGAGGGGCGGGCAGGACGCGGAGGTGCGGACGAAGCGGGCGGAGAAGGCTTCATTCACGACGCGCTCGTTGTGGAGGAACCCCAGCATCGGGGCACCCCGGCGCTGGAGGTGAAAGTCGCGGAAGCGGCGGCGGAAGGCGCGGGCCGAGACGAGGCGGGTCCAGCGCTTGCAGACGAGCGCGGCGCGGGGTCGTCCGGCGGGGACCGGAGGAGGACCTCTTCCACGAGCTCATCTGGCAGCGACGGCGGAGCGCGCAGCGTTGGCGGCGGCGGCAGATCCTCCTCCATTGGGGCGGCTTGCGGCGTCAGTTAAGTGGAAGACGAAGGAGAGGGATGGCGATTGAATTTATAAGTTTTTTTTCCTATTCGTGTTCACACATTGGCAACTAAAGCCACTGCCGGAATTGAAAAGGCACTCACGGTCACCGAGAACAATCGGCGATATTGCGAACCCAAATTCAAAAGTCACCGACACAATACTTACGGTCTTAAAGTACCTGTACGAAAGATTTATTTTAATGTTAGGAGAGTATAATCCAAGAGACTCGTTTACCGAAAAAATTATCTTTTAGTTCTTGATGTTAGAGAAGACAAAAAAAAAAAGATATTAAACTCTTTGTCTATAGTACTACCTAATGAATAAATATGTCTTGTATTTTAGGTCACAGTTATTGAAGACAGTATCAGGAATTGAATGCACTCACATAGGGCAACTGACGGCCAGTTGGCCAAGATAAGTTGACTATATTTACTTAAGATCAAATGATAGAAAATAATAGCGATGATGTGGAACATTGTGGCATGAGATAGAACTTATAGCGGAGGTTTTGCTTTATAAGAGATATAGATATTAACAATATATATATCATTAAATAAATTTATTATAAAAACATATTCAGCGATTTATCTAATTATATTCATTATGTATTATAAATATTAATATTCTTATGTATAATTGGTTAAAGTTAAAAATATTTGACTTCTTGAGAAGTGAGAATGACATTCTCTATGGGAAGGAGGGAGTATATTCTTATATAAATTTTAGTTAAACATTTCATGGATGGTTTCGTTAGTTTTGTTTTTTTTACATTATGGATATAAATTTAGTCATGTTTGGAATATATGATTTTTCGTTATTTCCTATTTTTTGTGAAATGTCTACATGATTCTTGTAAATCTTATGTTCCAAATAGACTCTCTTAGGCCTCGTTCGTTTCTCACGGAACAGCCCGGAATGAGACCCAACCCGCCTGGTTCAGAACGACCTGGAACAAAAACCCGGCCAATAAAGATTGCCGTTCGGTTAAGCTTGGCCTGGAATAGAATCCGACCAGTCTTGGACATTCTATGTGATCTACGGCCAGGTTTGCTTCCTCGTCTCTTGACATCCGGAACTAAATCACCTGGATCTCACTTGATCCCCTCCGAGGACAATTCCTGCTGCAGTTTCATTCCAAAGAAAACGAACAAGGCCTTAGGGATGTTTGGTTTTCGGTCATATGTCGAAGGTGAGGCCGTGGAAATCAAACGAGATTCACTACTCCGGCCAATTAAAAATGTTGTGGCGAACCTAAACTTAATGCTCAACTAAACAGCTGCTTTGATGATTGTGGCAGCCTTAACTCTGTTGTGGGGTGGGATGGCGGCAATCAAACACCCTCTTAGTGTTTTAAAATGCTTGCAAACTCCAATAAAAAAATGTTTTGTAGTGTTGGCTCCAACTTTATTAACAATCTAGGAACCAATGCTAATACATTTTAAGTTCTTTAGGTTTGAATTTTAAATCTAGATATTCCATGTTAATATTCTTATTCATGAACTCTAGCGTTTTAATTGTTAACACCATCTAATTAAATTTACACTTTATGCTACTTTGTAAATTGTATATCAAAATTGTGGACTCATCACTACATTATAACATACTTAAATAATTATCAATAATACACTCAGCACTACATTATAACATGTCTATTTATAACGAACTAAAAGCAAATTGCGATATGGTTGAATTTTGTCACCAGCATGACCATGAATATTTTTATGTAAGAACTGACTTATACTCCCTTCATTCTCTTTTATAAGACACGTTTAACATGACACGATCTCTTAAGTTACATTTTGACCATCTATTTTATTTTATATTATGTATACTTATAAATTTCTGATGATTGGATACCATATTTTAATAATAGTTAAAAATTGTTAGTCAAATTATTGCTCAAAGATTTGAAGTTTAAATCTTGATTTGCATTTATGTCCTATATTTGTCCTTGTGAAGAAAAGTTCTTCTAAAGACGTGTCTACTATTGCTCGCCAAGGCACTACAGTACATATGTGGGAAGTGGCACCATCAAATGCTTGACAATCACGGTCCTGTTTGGCTGGATAAAAAAACAATTAATACTAATTTATTATGAAAGAAAAATATTATTATTTAACTAAAAAAGTACTACCGATCAGTTCAAACGAACATACCCAAAGTATGCTACCAGTGAACAAGTACAAAAAAAAATATATTATGTCTGACAGTCTGAGCCCTGGTCCAGTATGCATGCCTGTTAAAGTACTACTAGTAGTAAAAAATTAAAATCAAAGTACTCCTACTGCTACTAGTAAAAATAAATAAATCCTGTAACTAGTAAAAAAACAATTGACTTCTATTGTTGATCCTCGTAAAGAAAAAAAGTTCTTTTAAACACGTGTCTACTAATTGCTCGTGAAGGCAGTACAGCAAATGGGTGGCATTATCAAATGCTTGACAATCAAAGTACTGTATTAAAAAATTAAAATCAAAGTAATGCTATTAGTGAAAAAATAAAAATCAAGCTACTGCTACTAGTAAAAAAATATATGTATTATCAAATATCAAAGTACTGCTATTAGTGTACTAGTGAAAAAACTGCTACGGGGTACTTAAAACAATGAATCAAAGTAATGTTATTAGTGAACTAAATAAATCAAAGTAATGCTGTTAGTGAACTAGTGAAAAAATAAAAATCAAAGTAATGCTATTAGTGAACTAGTGAAAAAATAAAAATATATTGAATCAAAGTAATGTTATTAGTGAATAAATCAAAGTAATGCTATTAGTGAACTAGTGAAAAATAAAAATATAATTTGTCTGAGCCCAGGTTCGAACTGGGGACCTTTAGTGTGTGAGACTAACGTGATAACCAACTACACCACCCAGACAATTTAGGTTTCACAACGGAAGAATATCATATTTAACAACGTTTTGAAAAAGCACTCACTCAGTGATCACAGCTACTGGAACTATGTGGGCTCACTGAGTGATCAAAGCAATCCGAATCTCGTGTTTAAAAAAGGGCCCAATCCAGCCCAGCGCAAGACGTGCGTACCTTCTAGTCTTGTCTCGTCCCCTCTGCTCCCCGCTTCCGCCGCTTTCCACACACACGCGACGCCGCCTCCAGCGACCAAGGCATTGGAGCGATGCCGCCGGTGGTCCCGAGGTCCGACAGGATAGTTCGCCGGACGGCGATGGTCGGCGCAGCCACCGCCGCCTACTTGTTCCTCACCGCCGACTACGGCCCCAGCTACCCCAACCCCGTACGCACCGTACTCCTCCTTTAATACGACTGCTTATTAGTTTGATTGTGAGTGAAAAGTTAAATCATGGATAGGACTAGGACCAGCATCCTTATGCCTGTTGTTCCAATTCGGCTAGTAGCTAGCATAGTTTTTTTTTCCAACTCTTTAACTTGCTTGGGATACAGCAATCAGTAATTTGCTTTGGCTTACATGATAACTTCCGGTTCCAGTTCCAGCTGGGGATTCTACTGTTGCGCGGCGCGACAGCTCTTGAATAGGTTATGCACGGTCTTCTGTCTGTACAAAAATATAAGGAACCGAACAAAGACTCTGAATTCTAACCTGAATTTGAGTGCGCCTGAATGATTGCTAACCACGTGTAGTGATCCAGAATGAGGACCTCTGCTGTGTTCTGTAACAAGTCTTCTTTCTTGTTGTTCTACTCTGCTCAACAGTCAACGTATAGCTTCAGTTTTTGAGAGAATATGACGATAAAAACTAGTATACTTCAGTTTCTGCGAGTGCTAAAGGCCATCTTCCCAATTTTACCAAGGACAAGATGTTTGTGCACTAGCTACTAGTACTAGTATACATCCTGCTTCGATTAGTCACTTTACCTGTTATGATGCTACAGCTAATAGATGCCTCAATTTCCTCAAATGCAGATAAGGAATGCCATGGAATCGTTGGCTCTGTTCTCCAAATCAGACACAGACATAGACAGGGATAATGTTCATCAGGCTGAACATGATACAAGTAACACGAAGTCAGATGGTACGGTACACGGTAGCAAGAAATAGCAGTGCATCGCGATCTAGCTTGGTGAGGCCATGATCTGCACCTTTATACCTATAGTGTGAGTGTTCCCATGCTGCCAGTTCCTGAGCTGGACTGCTAACAACAGTCGGTCAGTCAGATCGGTTTCCCTATGTGTTCTCAACCCAGCAGTTGTAGTACTAATTGTCATGTATCCGGACGCAGAGGTATGCTATAGCTAGGACCGTTTCAGTGATAGTCGTTTCACTTTATTACTGTTGTTCATTCATGTTAAGAAACAAGGCCACAAGGGCACCTGATATACATGATCTATATATCTCGTTGAAATCGAAGAAAGCAACATGTGTGTGGGATGACACGCGAGTGAGTGACGTCACAATTATTCTGCTAGGCTCTCATTCAAAGGGTCTGTTCGCTGGTTGGTGCTGGTCCTGTTTTTTTGTGAGAGAAAAATACTGTTGGCTGGTTGGTTTGGACTGGTTGAAACCAACGAGCGGAACAGGCTGAAAATCTCACTCATGGTCGTGCAGCACGTGTGGCCCTGCTAGCTCAGGAGTGGTAGGAAGTACTGGTGCTGGCTGGGAGCCTGCGAGGCTGCTACTGAATAAGAGATTGAGAGTGCAGACATTGTAGTAGCTGCTGCACGGTGCCTTTGCTATTTCCTTTGTTTGGCAAGAGCCGAAGAGGTCCAGATTACAGTTGGATACAGTAAAGGACGAGCCAACGGCAATCCAAAGATCGTTAAGGCAGAGTCTAAGGGGA